ATACCTAGTCGGTGCCATAGTAATCCTTGGTGACCACTGCTCGCCGCTTTTTAAACACACAGAAAGCGTATATCGATTCTAGCGTGATAAAGTAACCGTCAGTTGTGCACAAGCGTTCTGTTAATTACGTGTTTTCCTATAAACTAATCTTTATTTATAACAATCAACATGGAATCCGCTATTGTACACTTGGAACAAAGTGTAAGTTACACTGTCAGTAACTGTTAAATTGTTCGTTTTAAACGTCATTTATAATTTTAGTGATGAAATTCAGATTCAGTCAGTCTGTAAATATCAAATGTTATTGTGATGTGAATATGTCTTTGATATTTTCGTAATTTCTTTGAATCGATAGGTTAAGCAGGCTGATGGAAAATTGGATATGATCGCGTGGCAAATTGATACTTTTGAAAAGCAATTTGAAAACCCAGATAGTGAGGTATGTTTCGATAAAAATCCTGTTAAGCAATAAATAATCAATGATTATTAAAATATATGAATTTAATTGTAGAAGTAGTTTGGCACATACAAGTAATAAAAACAAAGACAGCATTTTGGCAAATTTCGTACAGAGTAAGTTAATGTAGTGGTTTGTTATAATTGTCCAATTATTCCAATAGAAGAATGCCTGTAACTTGAACAGAAATTTAAATGTTTACATGCAGTCATTTTATTATTTTTATGTGCCTGATTCAAAATACAATTTGTGATACTTTTAATTGGTATTTGTGAATGATTTTTGGTCACAGTTGTAGTCATAATTAAAATTTAGTCCAGAGTTTCAGTTGCAGTCACAATTATAAAAGAACAGACTTGAGCAGTTTTTATTTCATTAAGCTGGAATGAATATACGTAATGGAAACTATTTGTGTTAAGCGAATTAATGTTTATTTTACAAACTATTTAAATAGATATTGTAAATATTTAGAGATGATATACTTCAAGAAATTCATATTGTATTTTATCTTCTGTGTTTTATATACAATTATGGATGTTATTAAACAATTTTTATAGAAACAGCTCAAAATATATATTTCTTAAAAATACCTATTAATGTTTTATATTTTGTTTATTTTCGTTAGAGTTAAAACCATATTCCATCAATGAAGTTAACATATTTGACAAAATTGTGTCTCGAAGCAATATCAATAAATAGTAGTGATAATTGAAGATTTGGGACATAGAATACATATTATATATGTGACTATTGAAATTGAAAATATAGAATATATTGCATGATCACCACATAAAATGCTAAGGTTACATGACATTAGTGCTGATTTGAAGTTTCTTTATAATGTAATATTAATACTAATAATAATAAAATTAAATGTATATAAGGGTAATTGCAATATATTAATTTTTTTTTCAATTATCATTTGCTTATTTAGGCTTAGAATTTTGGTAATTTTAGAATTACAGTCACTAACTGATAATCAAAAGTAATTAGTAATACATTTTGGCTTTAATTTTGGTTCCAACTTTCTATTTTATTCATGCCGAACATTAGATCAACATTTAAATTCTGTTTTTATGTTGCTATTTATTTTGTATTTTTAACAGATGTCTGTGCTTCGTCTATTAAGGTCTGTTCATCAAGTAACAAAAGATTATGAGAATCTTCATCGAGAAATATTGGAGGTTCAACAGTTGCAAAAACAACTTTCAGATTCTCTTAAAACGCAATTGTCCCAGGTTGTTGGACACTTTAACTTGCTACGTAATAAGATAGTGGAACAACACAAAAATCCACAACTAAAATAAGATCAAAATATTTAGCGGATCTCTTTTTGATTACTTTTTAATTTATACTTAATTTATTTTCATGAATTTTTTTTCAAATTAAAAGACTAATTTAATGCTTTATAACATATTTTGAATAATAGTAACATTTATTATCTGTATAGTTACGTAAAATATTAATCTATTTGTTATTAGGTTATTAAAACAAAGTGTATGTTACTTATCAATGAAAAAGTTAAATTGCTTTATTAATGAAACTGTTAGCTTTAACTTTTAATTTCAATTCATTTTACTTAATATGCACACACCTATAATACATGACTAATCTCATTTGTTCAGTATTAGCATTTATGTTACGGAATCTCATTGAACAACTATAACAGATGCAATATTTTAATAAATTGCATTGTATGTACATAAAAATTAAAAATTTAATTTGTAATTCTTGCATATAGATCTGATTTATCATTTAGTTACATCAACATCTTCTAATGATTACAGTTGGCCCTCAAACAATGCGAAGTAGAACAATGCAGTTCTAGCTATCGCAGATTTTTTTCTTAAAAACTTTTGGAGTCAGCCGCATGTTTATTTGAGAGGGTAGAGAAAGAACGAGAGTCTATAGGTGACATCCATAAGCCATAAATTACGATAATCACAGCAGTGAGAGCTCTATCGAAAAAAGAAAGGCGGAATAGTACCTTTCACTTGCTGTTGCAACGTGTAACACGTTCGCTGATACCAATTAATGTATGTTTTTTTTCTTTATGATTTTCATTGCTTTAGTTTATTTTATTGTAAGAATACAGTAGTACCAAATACATATAACACATGAAATAAGTCTTTTGTATAATAGTAATCTATTATAGTTAAGTTTCTGGGAAGTCAAACATTTTCCGCGGATTTTCAACTACGCGGAGTATCGGCGTCCCAATTACCGCGTTGTTTAAGGACCGACTGTATTCATATCGTGGTATATGATTTTCTAAATTATTGCATTGTAAGATACAGTAATCCTTTGAAAATTTCCTAAAATTCGCACCCTGGTCATGAGACAATTTTAAAAATCATAATGTATGATTGGGACCTCCATACTCAACAAGAGGAGTAATAACATCAATGGAAAACAGGAGGGTTCCGTGAAGAAGCGCGTAGAGTCTCGGTTTTCGGTGCCAGGGGTCGTGGGTTCGAATCCTGCTTGGGCCCTCATTTTTCTCAACGCTTCTACAATAACGGTTCGTGATTTAGATAACACTCAAAGAGGACAATTGAAAAATTTTAAGATACATTTCTAATGATACATTACACCCATTAGCTTAGTAATGAAACATTATAAGTGTAATTTAAGATCATTCAAATGATGTCGTGTATGATTTCATTTTTAAAAACGAAGACCTGACTAGTCCAATGTATCAGTGTGAAAAAATCAATTTAACATATCGATTTTAAACTAATTGAATTGTGCGTAGTGGTTCCACAAGTCATTGATCAAGCAATTTCCAGAATATGGGAGTCATCAAACCAAATATTCGTGATTTTGAGGGTTGAAAATTAGAATTTTCCTGAGGATTACTATATCTAATTGTACGTACGTACTTCCGATCTATTAGTATTGTTATACTCGACTATTTGATTTCATTGTTTGCTTTAAAATAGTATGGGATCAACAGGTACTATTGACAAATAATTTATTTGACTCCATTCGTGAGTGCGATGTTGGGGCCAATCTATATGCTGGTATATCTACACAAAATGAGAATACCAGTAAGATTTAAAAATGTTAATTCTTTTATTTATAGAATGCGTTCATTATTAATTAATACCATAAATTTATACCAGACGTACCATTTGTAATCATTACTTACACATTATATTATTGTGTACTGTTTATTAAGAAAATAGTATAATTTAACTCTAAGCGAGTGAGAATTTTACTAGATGTCAATGATACTATTGGTTCTATATGAAACGAGATTATATATTGAATACCAAAGTATATAGAAATGGAGAAAAATGTGTACCGTTTTATAGGTACATTTTTAAATAACGAAATAATTTTGTTTGCTATACTGACGATTTTCCACATTACAAACAATACATTATTACTTCTATACAATGAGTTTATTATCTGTGCAATGTGAGAAGGTATATTTATTCAATAATATTTGAAGATAATTCTTTATGTTGAAACAGTCTTTTGTGTATCACAATTTATATAAACTATGTGATTATAGTGCCAAATTTACTAGAAAATTTCGTTTCTATACGTTAATAGTATAGGATTGGAGAGTTAAGTGTATGTATGTCTACAATACACATGTATATACTGATTAACAGCACAATGATATTCATATTTTAAAGAACGTTTCAATCAAATTTTATTATAATCTTTAAAAGTGTAATTTTTACTGTATGTACTGTAAGCTACTAACAGTTTCCTTGTTTTTATATTTTATGTATCTGAATTTTATAGATTAATCAAAAAGAATACAATAATATTCTTTTGAATAAATGTAATAGCATTGAATACAGTCATTCTGTTTACTTAGTAAGTTATGATATTCAGAATATTCTATGTATATGTAGTTACAATATGTCAAATGGAACTATTTCCTCCCTAATAATTCTGATGATTCTTGCATTCAATGCATCATCCATACTGAAATATGTATACCTGTAAATTATTCTTTATAATCAGCAAACGAATTTTCTGAATTGTTACATTTTAAAGAAATGATTATGTGTACAGAAACAAAATAATTTTTTATGATTTACAAGATTTTCTTTAAAATAAATAAGATTTGTTGTATGTGTGTACATGTATAATATAGTAGAAAGGGGAAGTGTATTTTACAACACGAGGGTAATGATAAAAATCTACACAGCCATGGCTTGCATACATTAGGGTATGAAGAATAATATTGCCTTAATACACTGGTGTGTGTTTAACGAGCTATCCAAAATGTGTTGAAGTTAAATGCACATTATAATGATACATGTAACTCACAAAAGTCTATTATTCAATAATACGAAGGGAATGTCTTTTCAAGTATATTAATTGGTCAACTACATGCATTTTAAGGATATGTTTTTTCTTATCTCCTCTGTATTAAAAAATTATATTTCACTTTGATTTGTTTAATATATGTGCAAAATGGTTTGGAACTTACAGTGTATGAATTTAAGATTGAAGAAAATATTGTAACTGTCATTTCTAGAAAAGAAGTTCAATATCTTCTTCAAAGAATAGTCCTCTAGAATTCAGAATGTTTAAATTTTTTTTTCCTCCATTACTTGTTGATTTTAATTGCTTAACTATAAACAAAGAATTACATAAGTGTTTGTATAGCATTATCTTGAATGGAATAACCAGTTTCATAATTGTGAAACCATTAGGTATCCTCTTCGAACTTAAAAGTCAATCACCTATTAAATGTAGGACATTCTCTGTGAGAAGCCCCTCTAAGTCAATATTAATAATTTGGAAAAGATGGTACTTGTGATACTCAGTGACTCGCACATTTATCAGGGCTAATTTATATTTCAGTTAACCAGTCGTGTGTCTTAGTAAAATTGGATTAAGGAAAATTCAGTTTTTGTGTAAGGAGTGTTAACTGAAAATATAAATCAGTTCCTAGATTGATCTGTAGCCTTCACCTACGCAATTAGATTTGATCTATACAAAACTGTATTAATATATATACTGGACGCAAAATAAGACCATAACTGCGAAATGACGAATTTCGGTCTTGTTTGCGCGTATCCTCTCGGTTACCTTAGTATCAACGTCTTAAACAATTGAGCATCACTATGCTTCCTGTAGCATCGTATATCGATTGACTTAGAAGTACAAACGTGCCAATTCATAAGTATTCGTGTCTTGAGAAATACGGCATTATGTCACTCGGAATATGACAATTCTATCCACGTTACCGAAAACACGCTGGCGGCGGGAACGAGGGGGGGGGGCCTCTCGTGATCATAACAGAGCGCGAAACAGTATGGTCTTATTTAGCGTTACTATACATGTATTTGTATCGTAGTGATGTCAATCACAGTCACGTCTTTTTTTTCTAAACAACATTGTTTCAGCTGTGGGCAATAATGCTCTCTAGGTCAAAATCCAAAGTAGACGTAAACTTTGGATTTTCACTTAAAAACATTCCTGTGCTCGTCTTTTTTGAAATCTCATATTATTGACTAATTGTACAAAGTCGACTAATTAACAAAACTAAAAATTATAGCCACTATTCCATTTACAAGCAATATATTACATATAAATATGAAGTTCAAAGAGTAAAATTCAAGTAATAAAGGAATATTTGTCGTGACGAAGTGATATATTCTTATTTTATATTAAAAATTAATATTTTATTTAGAAAGATAACTAAGACCAGAAGAACAAGCGTTTATTTAGTTTTAGAGCAACAAATGGAATGTTATTTTTAAATACCCGTGACTCTGATCAGGCGATGAATAGTTTAGTGATTATTAAAACTGATGTTAGAGTAGACGTAGAAAATAAGTTAAGAGAAAAATGGTCTGGAACACATTCAAAACGTGCTAAAAAGCTTTGGTCAATTAGTATCATATACCATTTAGTTTCTCGAACACAGATCTTTGAACATCGGTTTCTCTGTGTAGTTTACATATCACATTTTCACATTTTTCGAGTGTCTATTTCACTTTTTACTTGTGATCCCTTATCAAGTAGAATATTGTTATTGTGCAAGGAGAACTTTATTAAAAACGAAGCAGATTTGTTATTTATAATTGTATCTTTTAATTTTTTTGATCTGGAAATCATACAATTTTCATCTTAACAGTTTGCACCCATTAATAATTTCATTATTTCGTTTCAACAACTCACAAATGAAAAAAAATTATCTTAATTCTGAAACCTTTTTTAAACTGTTACTTTCGAGGCTTTTATTGTAACTGTGTTATTCACGATCGTGGTTCATGAATCAAAGAGGAAAGAAAGAAACCAAAGAATGCAATGTTTCGAATTTAATAAATGG